CAATTCAATTCAATTCAATTCAATTCAATTTTATTTGTATAGCGCCAATTCATAACAGAAGTTATCTCAGGACACTTTTCAAATAGAGCAGGTCTAGACCGAACTCTTTAACATTAATTACAGAGACCCAACAGTACCACCATGAGCAAGCACTTGGCGACAAGGGCAAGGAAAAACTGCCTGTTAAAAGGCAGAAACCTAGGACAGATCCTCCGGCTCTAGGTGGGTGGTCGTCTGTCTCGACCAGTTGGGGTGAGAGAGAGAGAGAGAGAGAGAGAGAGAGAGAGAGAGAGAGCGACAGACAGACAGACAGGTGCACAGCAACAACAGTATTGGCAATGGCAGTCAAGCAGGACCATGGCAGGAGGCTCCACCAGGATCCATGAGAACCTGCGAGACGAGAAAGCACAAGAACTCCGGGGAAGAAGTGGAGTTAGTAACATGCATTAAAGGGACATGAATGAGTGCAGAAAGAGAGAGGAAGAGAGTAGCTCAGTGCACCATGGGAAATCCCCGATAGTCTAGGCCTATAGCAGCATAACTAAGGGATGGTTCAGGACTCACCTGATCCAGCCCTAACTATAAGCTTTATCAAAGAGGAATGTCTTAAGCCTACTCTTGAAAGTGGTGAGGGTGTCTGCCTCCCGAACCACAACTGGAAGCTGGTTCCACAGGAGAGGAGCTTGGTAACTGAAGGCTCTGGCTCCTGTTCTACTTTTAGAGACTATAGGAACCACAAGTAGCCCAGCATTCAGAGAACGTAGTGTTCTAGTGGGGTAATAGGGTACTATGAGCTCTTTAAGATATGAAGGGGCCTGACCATGAAGAGCTTTATAGGTGAGGAGGAGGATTTTAAATTCAATTCTACATTTTATAGGGAGCCAATGCAGAGTAGCTAGTACAGGAGAGATGTGATCTCTTTTTCTAGTTCCTGTCAGTACTCGTGCTGCAGCGTTCTGAATTAATTGGAGCGTTTTAATGGACTTATTGGGGCAACCTGATAATAAAGAGTTGCAGTAATCCAGCCTTGAAGTAACAAATGCATGGATTAGTTTTTCTGCATCTGTCTGTGATAGTATGTGTCTAATTTTTCTAATATTACGTAAATGAAAGAAGGCAGTCCTAGAGGTCAGCTTTATGTGGGAGTTAAATGACAAATCCTGATCAAAGATAAATCCAAGATTCCTGACAGTGGTGCTAGAGGCCAAGTTAATGCCATCTAGAGTGACTATATCTTTAGACAATGAGTCTCTAAGGTTTTTGGGGCCAAGAACAAGAATTTCGGTTTTTTCTGAGTTTAACATCAGAAAATTGCAGGTCATCCAGGATTTTATGTCCTTAAGACATGTTTGTAATTTAGATAATTGATTAATTTCATTGGGTTTGATTGATAGATATAACTGCGTATCATCTGCATAACAGTGAAAGTTAATGGAGTGATTCCTAATAATGTTGCCTAAAGGGAGCATATATAAAGTAAATAGTATTGGTCCAAGTACAGAACCTTGTGGAACTCCATGACTAACTTTAGTATTTATGGAGGATTCATCGTTAACATGTACAAACTGAGTACGATCTGATAAGTATGACTTAAACCAGGTTAGGGCAGTTCCTTTAATGTGATGCAATGTGTTCTGTCTTCATCCATCCTCTCTCCTCTCGCTCTCACTGCCTCCATGTTTGCAATGTTCTCACAGAAGAGGTGAGTTTACCTCAGGTCTGTTGTACGCTAGGGCCCAGACTGATTGGTGTTCAGTTAGTGTAGATCTGAATATGATCTGAATATGTATATATGTACATATATGTATAATAGGTATATGTTAATGTCAGAAACAGGGTTTAAAGCAGAAAATGTGTTTGTACATTCGCTGTCTTTGTTCAAGGGACATTTACAACAGTTAAAGATTTGTGTGATCAGATCAGAAAGACTGTAATGGTGTTACACTGTCCTCTGCTGGACAGAGACGATCCTGGAGACAGACAGACAGACAGACAGACAGACGCTTTATCACTGATGCAAATACTAGCAATAGCAAGGCTATTATGTACTAACAGTTGATGTGATTGAGCAACTGTAATTAGTGAGGATCAATATTAGATTGTGGAAGCTGCAGATATTTCACTGCTGATAACGCTTTATGGACGCTGTCACTACAGACACAGTTTACACTCATTATGTTATTAAATGAAATCTTCAATCTGAGACACATGGCCTCCATCATCACACGTAGATAAAATAAGAGAAATCTGCTCCCGCTCTGCCACATGGGGGCGCTGTACATTTGAGCTTTATTTACAGTTGTTCTCCTCAATATTCATGATTCTCTAAACAGAGTGTGAAATTATCAAATCCATAACTCATCTGCTCACAACACTTTATGGATTCAAACACATGAGAACAGTTCAGCTGACTGACACTCAAACGATAACTTCATTCAATCAGAGAAAGTATTTCCACATGGTTAAATGGCTTCATGTTGGTCTGACTGCATTTAATTGAGTTTACTGAACTTCTATTGTAAGTAGTTAAAAATATACACAGTAGGTCTATATATTAACATTTAGGATATTTCTGTGTAGAACTCATTCAATACTCAATACTGAGTATTAACAGTAAGAGGATATATACATATTGAACTTGAAAACACCAAAATCAAAGACAACTAAAAATAATAAACAACATGAGATTATGGGCAGAAAAGCCAAGTAATTAATCAATCAAAGTAAATTAATCAGTCAGATCAGATAAATCAAACAATCAAATCAACAAGATCAATAATCAAAGATTGATCAACAGACCAATCAAACAGACTGATCAGCCATCAGAGGAGTTGGATCAATGGAGCTGCTTCTGTTCCTGGTTCTCCCTGCAGAGGAGACAGAGGACAGTCAGACACAGACAGACACAGAGACCTCTGACCTCTGACCTGAATCTACAGCACTAACCTCTGACCTTTATCTACAGTACTGACCTCTGACTGTGAGCTGCACTGATTTCCCTCTCTGGATGCATCTGGTGTCTTCCTTCTTATTGTTGACGTTGCAGCGGTATCTTCCTGTGTCTCTCTCTTTGGGGTATTTCAGGATCAGACTGAGGTCTCCAGTTTTCAGCAGGTCTTCCTTCATCTCAGTTCGGTCTCTGTAATCCTGGTTCTGTTCTTCAGGCCGGTCAGAACCGTTCTGATACACATGGACTGTCATGTTACTGTAGATGCCTTTCACCCACTCCACTTCAGCATCCTCAGGCAGGTCGGCTGTGGTCTTAAAGGGCAGTTGGACAGACTCCGCCCCCCTCCTCCACCTCCACCTGACAGTCTGAGAGAACAACAAACCCCAACATCAGCTGTACAGACAGCAGCAGCAGTTTGTAACAACTTTATTGACTGATTACAAAGTTGTAGAGAACCCTGAAGGACAGAACCAGATGAGAGCAGCAGGTAACAGGGGGACAGAAATATAGGAACTAAAAGCAAGTTTTCAAGCTGTTGGACATGTTGTGATTTTCTGTCCATGTGCTGCTTCACAGTAATGTCTCATCTCAGTGTTGAACTGCTGTCTGTTGCTCAAATGTAACAGTGAATGAATCTTAGTTCCACACAGCATTTCAAACACAGGTTCAACATCACTGATCAAACAAATGTCTCATTGTTTCTGTAGCAACACATTCACTCACATTATTTCTACTGTTGGGACCACTGTGACCATTTTGGAGGATTTAACCTCAACTTTTATCCTGATGGTCACTTCCTGTGACCTCTCATCAGGTCACTTCCTGTGACCTCTCATCAGGTCACTTCCTGTTACCGTAACCTGATACCCCTGATGACGCTTTGACCAGCAAACAAACGGCACGTCGCCCTCTTCACACAGTGGACAGTTAGCTTTAATGTTATTTCCTTCCCTCAGTGTATTATTAAAGATATGATTGGATGATCTTCTCCTTGCTCTCAACGAAGGCGGACGCATCTCTCTCTCCCTTATCTTCCTGCTTTGCTTCTCTGGTTTCGTCCTGTCTTGTCTCTAACTTTTAGGAGCCTCTCCCCGTATTGCTCTCCACATTTAAATCATGGAATTAGTCAACTGGTCTCTCAACGCAATTGACAGAATTTTCTCGACGAGAAGCTCGGGTTCGGGGGAACCTGTCTGCCCTGAAGGAACTTTTGCCGCTGGTTACACGATGGACTCCTGGGAGAAGTAGAGGGTCGTGTGCCTGGTGATTCTTTCCGTAGAGGACATCGAGGATCTCTACATATTCGGAACCATGATAACAGGCTATCTGCTGATTGGAGTAGGCATTGCCCTGGTGTATCGGAAAATTCGGAAGACGGTGTCAGCAGTCCAAAGCCCCATGAAGCTAACTGACATGATTGATGAAGTGAGCAGAGCTGTTAACGCTCAGACTGTGGTTATACACTGCAACATGGAAAACATCTTGGATAGAGCTGTTAATGCTCAGACTGTGGTCATTAACCGCAACATGGATAACATCTTGGAGAAGTTTTCGGCTTTGCAAAGGAGAATGAATCGATTTGAAGACCGGAATGGACAAACAGAGTAAGTCGTGTCCATTGAAATGCGACGACTCGCCCTAACCCAAACAATCATAATCTAATCTGCATTCCGGCCCTCAGTAGCACCGGCCTTGGCCAAGGCCGCTGCTGGAACAACTCCTCCAGGAGATCGCTGCAGTGACACGCTCTGCCCTATTCCTCCCTCTCTTCCCACATGGACACCTGTTGATAGTTGACTCTGTTTAGGACTGATCAGGGAGGTCTCCATTGCAACCTGCTGTGTTATCGTGATGACACCATGTGAACTGAGGCACTGATTGAGAGGCTAGACGAAGAGACTCTCCAGGGCTGCGTTTCATTAGTAGTTCCACTTCCCCTCGTTCACTTACCCTCAGCCCTTGGTATGACGTAACAGCACGTAAACTGTAATGCATTGTGGGTGATATCCACCTCGGAGTGACCATCGTTGTGCACTCGCTCCCTCAGCCCTCCGAGGGTCCATCTCACCAAGTTCACTTCAGTTTTACAGACAATTGGAACAACACTTATGATGGCGACGGGGATTCCCCCGAGGGCAAGTGCCGAGGGCATGTTGAACGACTAATGAAACGCAGCCCAGGCTTATATGCACACACGCACCCATGGACACTTACACATGCGCATATGCAACACATCCCTTTTGTTGGTTTCATAATTAGATATGAGCCAATCGCAGTCCTTCATGTCTCAGACTAATCTTTGTTATTCCAGCTGATCTGGATCTGATGCAGATCTTTCTTTCTTTCGGTCTCCAAATATCAGAACCATTGAAATGGAAACAGAACCTTTGACCTGTATCTACAGCACTGACCATTGATCGAGAGCAGCACTTGTTTCTTCATCAGGATCTTTCTCTCCCTGTTGTAGACGGTGCAGGTGTAGGTTTCTCTGTCTCTGTATGTGGGGTATTTCAGGGTCAGACTGAGGTCTCCAGGTTCCAGCAGGTTTCTCTTCATCTCTGTTCGGTCTCTGTAATACTGGTTCTGTTCTTCAGGCTGATCAGAGCCGTTCTGATACACATGGACCTTCCAGTTGTATCTGTTCTTCCACTCCACTGTGACGTCCTCAGGCAGGTGAACTGTGGTTTTGCAGGGCAGCAGGACAGACTCCACCCCTGAATCCACCTCCACCTTGTAGACTGAGAAGACAACAAACCACAACATCAGCTGCACTGTAGAAAATCTATTTCAATCCAGTGAAAACGTGTCAGTGCATTCAGTAGTTGATAGAGATATCTCAGTCTGGACCAAAGTGATGGAGCCACTGATGGATATTGTGATGGCAGAGCCACCTCAACACATGTCAGCTGATAAACTGTTTCAGTGCTCAGCACACAGAACTCCCAGACCAAAACCTGAGCTTGGTAGATTATTATCTAGAAACAAAACTAACACTGATCTGGTTTTGATTCATTAATCCCCTTTTATTGGACTTCATACACTTCTTGGAATGATTGTCTGACCACTTATTTCTAGAGATTTCTCACTTTACTTGAGCCTAGATATACAGATTATTTCAATAAATCTAGCTGTGGTCAGTCAGTGGCCAACAGAAATGTTTTAAGTCTGGATTTAAAAGAACACAGGGTGAGGCAGACCTCTACACTTCTGGAAGTTTATTCCAGGTCTGTGCTGCATAGAAACTGACAGCTGCTTCTGACCCTGGGTACTGTGAGCAAACCTGACCCAGATGAACCAAGAGCTCTGGATGGTCCATAACAGAGCAGCATATCACAGACTGGCCCCGAACCATTCAGTGTTTGGAAGTCAATAAAAGTATTTTGAAATACATTCTTTGATGTGTAGGAAGCCAGTGCAGAGCTCTAAGACCTGGACTCATGTGTTCCACTTAGTGTCAGTGAGGACTCTGGCAGCAGCGCTCTGAATCCTTTCAGTCTGGGTTTTTAAGGTGGTATTAGGAGGATCTTGTGATTCTGTTGATGTGGGTTTGGGTTTTTAGGTCCAGAACTACACCATGATTTCTGACATGGTAGAATCCTTTGGTTCAGAAACAACAAAAAATACAACAGAAATCTAACGTTATGCTAGCAATGCTAGCAATGCTAGCATGTCATTGTCTCCAATTCAATATGAACATTTCCACCAACGAGAGGACATGTTATATTTATGTAGTATAGTAATGATACCGTATTCAAAGCACTGACCTTTGACCTCAAGAAGCACTTGTTTCTTCATCAGGATCTTTCTCTCCCTGTTGTAGACGGTGCAGGTGAAGGTGTTACTGTTTCTGTTTGTGGGATATTTCAGGGTCAGATTGAGGTCTCCAGGTTCCAGCAGGTTTCTCTTTATCTCTGTTCGGTCTCTGTAATACTGGTTCTGTTCTTCAGGCTGATCAGAACCGTTCTGATAAACATGGACCTTCCTGTTGTGACTGTCCGTCCACTCCACTGTGACGTGCCTTAGCAGGTGAACTGTGGTTTTGCAGGGCAGCAGGACAGACTCCTCCCCTGAATCCACCTCCACCTTGTAGACTGAGAAGACAACAAACCACAACATCAGCTGCACTGTAGAAAATCTATTTCTAAGTCAGTCAGATAATCTGATATTCTGTCATGTTTTCAGTAAGGTTATTTAATTTATGTAGAACGGTAAACAGACAGTTCACTGGGACTACTTTGTAGGTGTCTACATCAGGAATTAACGGATACCCTGCAGCCAATCAGAATCCAGTATTCACGCAGACTATGGTATAAGGGGGTTTGTCAGCTGGTCAGGACAGTTGCAAACAGGGCACCGTCATTATTGCTATTTTTTGGTGATGATATTCAGAATCTCAAAGTGAATATGAAGATTAGATTTTTGACTTGGTTCCATTTTTCTACATTTACTTTTTAAAATCTCTTTATACCAGAGACAACTTAAGAAACTTATAATGTGAAGTTAAAGGGACACTTCACCCATTTGCATTAAGCTTTGTATCATTAGAACCCCAGTCATATTTTTGAATGGTCGTGCATCATTCCCTCACTTTCCCTGAGAGGGGAGAAATAAGGATTTTAGTGTTGCACTTCCTGCTTCCAATGATGTAAAAATCGTCATTTTGCGTCATTGGAAGCAGGAAGTCTCATATCTCTGTAGAGGGGGTGAGACTACAAACACTACTTCCTCATTTGTTTTTCACTCACGCTACAGACCTATTACAGATCAGTGGGTGGGACTAAAAAATATAACCGCCATCTTGTTTGGAAGTTAAGCTAAGGTGCTGTGGAGCCAGACGTTACGACTATGGTAATCAATGTAATATGGAAGAAATTTCGAAAGTGTGATGGTCAAATCAGATGTTCGTGGCTACCTTTATGAGCCGCAATATAGCGAGCAGCGGCTGAGGCTGCTGCAGCTGAGGCAGAGGACCTGCCTTTCGCGGACGAGGAGCCCGGACTGGCTCGAGCTGGGGCGGACTGGTGCTGGTCACTGTGCGCCTAGGAACACACGGACGTCTGACTGTAAAGTGAGTGTTTCTATTTTCTGTCTTATAACAACGTGGCATGTACGTACACAATTTGTTCAAGCATTATCACAAAGTTATTCCCGGTTAATACGTAATGTCAGCCAACTGAACTAACTTCTTTACTGCACAAACAGCTTGTGGCACGCTAAACACAAAGACCATGCATCGCTGACTGTGTGCTCAATGTCTTGTAGACAATATCGCCTAACAGCCTTTCTGGAATGGGTCCTTACATTCATGTTCTTGTTGTCCTTGATAGTGTTAGTGGGAGCGGCTTGCGGAGCTGTGCATTGTGGGAGTTCTTGTCTTTAATACAAATGCGCCCTAAAGTCACTTTCTGTCTTTTCTCGGTCAAATAGGCACCAAATTCAAAATGTATGTTACATTTCAACTACATATATAACCCACTTTCAATAAATATTAATGTTTCCACGGGTGAAATGCTCCTTTAATATTAATATCAGTATTGTTATTACTATATAAATCAAATATACAGAACCTCTGACCTGTGTCTACTGACATCTGACGTGTATCTACAGCACTGACCTCGAGCCTGTATCTCTAGTACAGATCTCTGACGTGTATCTTCAACACTGACCTTTGACCCAGAACAACTCTAACAACCAACCATAATTTAAGCTGTACAGACAGCAGCAGTTACTCTGATTGTAACAAGACTTCACTGCACCATCCTTCTCTTACCCTTGGTTCACATTGCCTACCTGAGTGTGACCAGCACGTGGTGTTTACACAGCCCTGTTTTTCTATACTGAATTTGCCTTTGATAAATACAAATACAATAAAAGCTCTGTTAACATATGAGCGAGATTCCACCACACACTGCTCAAGTAGGCAGTGTGACCTTTGCCCTCAACGTCCTGTACTTCTATGAAAACTTGCTCAACAGTCACAAAGATACGAGAGTAAAGATGGTAACCATCAGGATTATGGGTAATGTAGTAGTGACGTACCTGACATGAAATATTGCTGAAAATACACAAAAAAACCCCCAACAATAAGACCGAGAACCAGGAGAACCAGGAGAACCAGGAGAGCTGTGGCCCAGGATGGAAACCGTTCTGTGGGAAACAAACATAAATAACATGACTTCTGACCTCTGTCTTGAATATACAGTACTGACCTCTGACCTGTCTGTTTTAGGGTTTGTTGCTGACCTTTGACCTGCAGCTGTATGTCTCTCACTCTCCGTTGTCCTCCTAATGCTCTGACGGTGCAGGTGTAGCTGCCGCTGTCAGAGAGGCGGAGTTTTGTCAGACTGAGGCTGAGGTCTCCAGTTTCCAGAGCGTCAGCCATCATGGATGTTCGGCCGCTGTAAAGCTGGTTTTGGTCTTTAAGTTCATCACCTTCCTGCTGACGCTGGTGGACGGTTGGAGGATTGAGATCGTAGCGGCTCCACACCCCTGTGGGGTTGTCCAGTTCAGACATTTGATACTCACAGGGCAGCAGGACAAACTCCTCCCCCTCATACAACTCCACAACTGAGGCATGCTGGGAAACTGTGAGGTCACACAGACAGAGAGGTTCAATCACAGCAGCCTTATTACAGGTCTTATTGCTCCTGGATCCTCAATCTGGTCCTGTTTGTGATCGGACTCTCAAACAGGATCAATAACAGAACAAACTGATAGACTGACTTTATTGATTCAACATGGTGTTTAAATTAGTGTGTTAACTGTCTGAAGTCCTCTTTCCTCATATCTTTTCCTTCTATCTCTCCATCACATCTTCAGTGGCAGCCACTGATATTCAGGGAGAAGACAGGACTGATGGACATGTGGAGACATTCATACAGATGAGACAGACCCTGAGTGTTTTGGACCATCTGTGTCCATTTTGTAATAAATGATGTTCAGTTGTTGAAAGACTGTAACAAAGTGAATGTCGTCTACAGTGTGTGCAGCCTGTAAACTAGAAAACTGACCTCTGACCCGTATCTAAAGCACTGACCTCTGATTGCTTTCTACAGACCTATATCTAGAGCAGTGTGCTTCCCAGCCTTTTTATCTTGAGGGACCCCTTTTCTATAATTTAGTAATCTGACAACCCCTGACTAAGTGACATATTTTGTTCAAAACAGTACAATTACGACAAATAGTGAACTCAGTCACTGCGTGAAGCTTGTGTAAAAGTAAAATTTAAATGGCTTCTTTTCTGACAAATTCAGTGTTTTCTTGACCCCGATGCTGGCCATTGTTCAATCAGACTTAATTAACTTTTTAAAAAATTATTTACTTTTCTTCAGATAAGTGAGCCAAATGCTGAGATATAGACCTACTGTGTATGTTTTCATTTAGTTTTGCAACCGACCTCCAGGTTGGGAACTACTAATCAAGAGTAGGTTTTAGGGTTTGTTGCTGACCTTTGACCTGCAGCTGTATGTTTCTCACTTTCTGTTCTCTCTGAAATGCTCTGACGGTACAGGTGTAGTTGCCGCTGTCAGAGAGGCGGAGTTTTGTCAGAGTGAGGCTGAGGTCTCCAGTTTCCAGAGCGTCAGCCATCATGGATGTTCGGCCGCTGTAAAGCTGGTTTTGGTCTTTAAGTTCATCACCTTCCTGCTGACGCTGGTGGACGGTTGGAGGATTGAGATCGTAGCGGCTCCACACCACAGTGGGGTCGTCCAGTTCAAAAGTTTGATACTCACAGGGCAGCAGGACAAACTCCTCCCCCTCATAGAGCTCCACAGCTGAGGCATGCTGGGAAACTGTGAGGTCACACAGACAGAGAGGTTCAATCACAGCAGCCTTATTTCAGGTCTTATTGCTTCTGGATCCTCAATCTGCTCCTGTTTGTGATCGAACTCACAAACAGGATCAATAACAGAACAAACTGATAGACTGACTTTATTGATTGTTTAAATTAGTGTGTTAACTGTCTGAACTCCTCTTTCCTCACATCTTTTCCTTCTATCTCTCCATCACATCTTCAGTGGCAGCCACTGATACTCAGGGAGAAGACAGGACTGATGGACACGTGGAGACATGCATACAGATGAGACAGACCCTGAGTGTTTTGGACCATCTGTGTCCATTTTGTAATAAATGATGTTCAGTTGTTGAAAGACTGTAACAAAGTGAATGTCGTCTACAGTGTGTGCAGCCTGTAAACTAGAAAACTGACCTCTGACCCGTATCTAAAGCACTGACCTCTGATTGCTTTCTACAGACCTATATCTAGAGCAGTGTGCTTCCCAGCCTTTTTATCTTGAGGGACCCCTTTTCTATAATTTAGTAATCTGACAACCCCTGACTAAGTGACATATTTTATTCAAAACTGATCGGACTCACAAACAGGAGCAATAGGATTAGGATCATTAATACTATTGGTAATATAAGCTATAAGAATGTGAACAACCTCCAGGGATATAATCCTGAAGAACAGAACTGAAGACAGTCTGACTGTACAGTCTTCTACATTCATCATGATTTACACAAACATTGAAAATATGCTGCCTTTAATATAATCTTCATGTTTTTATTGGAGTTTAAACAGACTAATGAAGTGAAGATGAAAGAAATACAGATTAAAGACATGATGTTGGACTAATGATCAGATCACAGGGAGGAAGGTTATCTTACCGTGCACGAGGATCACAAACACCACAAACATCTTCATCTTCCTGTAAAAACTACAACAACCACAAAGTCCTCATTAATCTGCTTCTCACTAAACGAACACTTGAAAAACACATTCAGTTCACAGCCAGTTGTCACTTCACCTCCTCCTGATAATCTGCCGACACTGTGAGGAGAAAACTTTAGTTTCACTTTAAACTGTTTCAAGATAAGCAGCTGTTGGAATGAAAAAAAAAAACGGCTGAGCAGCTTTCATACAAACATCGTTGTCAACTGGTCTTCATACCTACAACAGGCCAACTCCCAAAATCAAATAATTGAGCGGAGAGTAGACCAGCTACAGTTCACTGAAGTATGTTACATTAAATACGTGGGTAATGTTGGGAAACGGTGGCAGTTTTAGTTCACTTGCGAATAATGAGAACCTATAAATGTTGAGTACCCCAGTTTTATGTTAGAAATGTACAATCAGGGTCCCCAGCATTTAGAAACTGCTGAATCCTAACTTGAATATGTTGGGCAGTTTCCATTAGTTAAATAAATACATTTAATTAATTAATTAATTAATTAAACTGACAATATTTCAGAAACTGTTTGGCTGATTGTGACAATATAGGAGTGGTTGTCAGGGTTAGTGTTCAGGGTAGAGACAGAAAGAAAGAGGCCTACGAGGAAACAAAAAGGAATAGAAGGAAACAAACTCAGATGTTGAAGCAGACTGAAGATTATTGGTGTTACACCGACCTCTGCTGGACAGAGACGGTACTACAACCTGCTCACCACAGTAAAACAGGTGAAGGGATTGTGGTTTTATTGTGTGTTTATTGTCACATGCTGCTATCCTGGTGGTTCAGGAATTCCAATTAAAGGGCCAGTGCGTTTTATTTAATGGCACCTATTGATCAATCAAACTTTTTTTGTATAGCACCTTTCATACATTTGAGCGCAGTTCAAACTGCTTCACAGATGATTGACAAGATGATAATAAAACAGAAAGGAATGAAAACTAAATACAATACAATGACAAAAATGACAATAAAATACAATACAATTGGTTTTACAGGTATAAAGACAGTATTTAATAAAAGGTTTACTATGAATTAAATCAAACATGAAAACTCAAATTTAATTTGAACTTTTGATCATGATTGTCTTTAGAGTAGCCAAAAATGGCAGCTATATCCAAAATGTCCGACGTCCTGTTGGGTTTGTGGGACTAGTGCAGCGCCCGTAGGAAGTATGAATTGCTATAGAAAATTGTCAGGTTTTCTGTTACTGGTGAAAAACTCACAGTTTTAAAATTCTCTGTCTTGCGAGTGAGGGAGTCCGTTTACTGCAGGTGATTATTAACTTCGTCACTTTCCAGGATGTTTGGTGGGTCAGGATCTCAATCACTACACATTATAACAGCATCCATATGATTATAAAGTTTCCGCAGGTTTAGATTGACAGGGGGAGACAACGGGGAAACACCTTAAACACGGGCTCTGCAGTGATTGGCTCTGGTGCGCACATGGCTACGGTGAAATAAGTTATTAACGGTATCTTTATAGTCCAAACAAAGCCGACGTTGCACACCCTTAAACCACAGAGCAGCCGTGTTGAAACTCTCAGGTCAGTCTGATCCTGATCTGCAGAGATATTTGAGGCACACACACACACACACACACACACACACACACACACACACACACATTGGTGAAACTTGGCCCAGAGGCTGCAGTTTATGGCCGTGGCCCGGACCCGAATCATCCAAACATTTTTCCAACTGTTAAATTTTGTTGCACGTTTGTGAGATTCAGAGCATGCTACTGCTGCCAGAAATATGATTCTCTGTGTGAAATAATAATTCCTTCAGCAGACGCTGCTCGGGCCCAACAACCACATAACATCAATAAGGAGGATAAACAAGTCAAGAATAAGGAGATTGTTGAAATAAATAACTAACATTAAGCAGAAGATAAAGATCCTCAGGTGCCTGCCTCGCCAAAGGTTTTAGTCTGGGGATGTACCGGTTCAAGACCATGAAGTAAACAAAACAAGTAAAAGAATTTCAATATGATTGTAAAACCTGACAGGAAACCAATGTTAGGCTTTATAACAGGGGTAATGTGTTCTCTTATTCTGGTCCTGGTCAGCACTCGCGCTGCAGAGTTCTGAATCAACGGCAGCAGATTTAGACCAGAAAAGGAGCGTTGATCAGTAATCCAGCCTGTTTGAGTTTCTCTGTGACACTCAGAAAGAGAAACTGTTGTACACAGTCTGTTAATGAGCTTCTCTAATCTATAGATGGTCCTTAATGTTACACACTGGACCTCCAGCTGCTGGATCAGACAGTTACTGTTGTAAATCAACTACAACACTACTGCTTTTGTCCCTGCGAGGAAGGGAGCCAATCTTTTTGCCCCCTCACTTTAAGATCATATGGAGTTATATAATATATATATATAATGACTTGTGATGTTTATTTCTCTTTCTGTTAATATAATGATCATAATAATAATAAAATGTGCCTTCAAAAGTCTTAAATGTTGGTATAATCAGATTTAATGTATCTGAACACAAGATGTAAAATAAACGAGTATTGAAATGAAAACACACACACACCTCAGAAAAACTATATAAACACAGGGAACTATACACGCAAACACACAATATACAATATATACAATACATACAAGCAAAACATAGTTAAAAACTTATTTTTCTGCTCTCTGTTCTGCCAACCACTCTTCAAGAGATTTGCCATTTGAGGCACGTGAGCAGAAGGTGGCACTGCCATGACGACTATGCCCAAACTCCTTTGTTTTGGGCTGCCCACACTGGCTACAGGTATTGTAGGTGACCCCTCTCGCATATTTCCTCTTGTGGACTCCACTCTCCTCCTCAAGGGCCCGCTGGCGCCTGTTCCTGTGCGTGTACCGGGACACAGGAGTAGCAGGTGCAGGAACAAGTGGAGCTGGGCCTGCACTAGATGCTGAGGCACCAGAAGCTGGCAGTACGCATGACACAGTGTTGTCTGGGTTGAGGATGCAAATCCCTACCCTAGGCAACATCCCAGGAGCTGCAATGGGCTGTGCAATGTCTGGTGCCGTGGGGGCAGGTGCGATGGGGCACTCCCTGGTGGCAGCAGCTGGCTGTCGGCCTGGCCGCAAAACAGGAGCCTGCCCTTCCAGATTTGGAGGGAGGACAAATTCATGCCGTGGGCCTGATGCTGAAGGAAGGAGCTGCAGTCGTTCCTTCGGTGGTGGAAGCTGGTCAGGTGCCACAGGAATCGGGTTGGTTGGAGCCATTCCCTGAGAAAGGATACTCATCTCCGTTGAAACCTGAGAGAAGATCATTTGTGTTAGATATTTATTCATTAGAGAACTATTCAGTCAATTTGAGGTAAATGATGTGCCTGACCTACCATTGAATGAGTGTCCGCTGATTAAGCTCAAACAGCTGGATCATTGTCTCCACCATAACCCTTGGACTGTTGAGCACTAAGTCCTGGATGTGGTGGTAGTCGCTGAGAATTTTAGACCATCTGGGGGTGGACAATCCAGCCTTCTTGGTGGCTTTCTTGTGTAAAGTAATTAATAGTAATAAATGGGAAAAACACGTCATTGAGATTGGATTGAAATAGCCGTTAAAGTGTCTTACCTGAGCCTCGTCGGACAGATTGTTTTCACTCTCCCGTGTAGCCTCAGAGGTGTCAGGCAGCACTGAAGGGGCAGCAGCAGGATGTTGTCCTCCATCATGTTACGTGGACGGCAGATCAGCAGGTGATGCAGGGGCCTGTGGTGGAGGGGCCTGAGGTGGAGGGGCCTGAGGTGGAGGGGCCTGAGGTGGAGGGGCCTGAGGTGGAGGGGCCTGAGGACTCGTCATCAACGGTGAGGGCCTGTTCTCCAGATGACGGCAGGGGTCATCCTCCTCGAGCACAGGAACTGTGATGTCCTCTGTGATCTCTTCTTCGAATCCCTCATCTTGTACGTCCTCATCACTGACTTCCTCCACCAGCCTGTCCTCCTCCTCTGGGTTCTGGAGCACTGGACTCAGTGTTTTGCCGGTCTGGTTGTACAAGTACTCCATTCCCAGCAATTCACCTACAAAAACAAAACAGAAAAAATAAATGATTCTTAATATGTTTAAGCAATATAGCACTCGTGATCGTGGGGTTGGTAATGGATAATCCACCGGTGTTGTTCAGGACTGTAATATTAGAAATATCAGAAACTAGTAACTAGGGCTGGGTAAAAAAAATAGATTTAATCGATTTTAGATCGATTTCATTTAGATTTTGCAATATCGATTCATAGGGCATGAGATTGATTTTTTTTTCCCCCTCCATGAACCCCAGTAGACTCGTGCGTGATGACGCAGCAGCGCGTTTACGTCAGGTTGACGTTCAAGCGCACATACAAAATGACCGAAGCAGGTAAACCCGCGCTCAGCACGCCGTCCCAACTAAAGTCTGACGTCTGGAACCATTTCGGGTTTAAAGCAACAAAGAGCGGGATAAAACCAAAGTGGTGTACAAGATCTGCCGAGCGGAGCCCAGAAACCACTTTACAAGGTATCACACTGCGTTAACGTTAACGGTAGCTTCCGACAACCAGCCGTCCGGGGCAGAACTAACATTAGCGGCCGATTCTCCGCGGGCCGTAAACACGGCGGGAACACTCGGTAGCGGGAAACGAAGGCTTCAAGCGGCTCGTTATGGTGCAACGTGAAACTGCGCTCAATGCAGCCGTGAGTCCGATCTCCGTGGTCAAACCAGCCGCACGTAAATTTAAACTGTGCGAGTATTCTCAGCATTACGGTAAAGGCGGACAAACAGCGTATTCAATTCCGGTTTTCAAAATAAAGGTATTTAGAACATTAAGCTATGAGTCGAACCTACATTTAAAATAAAATATGTTGCATTAAAGTTTTTATGTGTACCTCCAAGTGGCATATTTTCTCATATTTGAGCTACTATAAAATATTATTGCTCAAATATGGACTTTTGATCTTAAATTTCTCCAAATTGCTGCAGTAAAAATGCTTGATATTGAGTATACTTGTAGTCTTAGACGTGTAGAAGTCAAATATATCATACATAGCCAGGAATTATTGAGCAATATGTTTTTACAGTACTTCAAATATGGTCAAATATGCAATCTCTGGAGGCATAAATACAGGACTTTTATTTTGACATTTCTCCACACTGGCGCAGTAAAGATACTCGATATGAGGTGTTTTTTATTCATCATGGGCGCATGGAAAACTTTAATGCAACATATTTTATTTTAAATGTAGGCTCGACTCATAGCTTAATGTTCATAATACCTTTATTTTGAAAACCAGAAGTGAATACGCTGTTTTTCTGCCTTTACCGTAATGCTGAGAATACGTGCACAGTTGAAATTTACGTGCGGCTGGTTTGACCACGGAGATCGGACTCACGGCTGCATTGAGCGCAGTAACGTAAACATGTGACTGAAGCTGTTATGATGTATACATGTGTGAAAGACCACATCCTGACCAAAATGCAGTCAGCGTAACTTGTGACACCTGCACATCGTACTGGACAGTGACTTCTCACTACATGGACAACGAGTGGTGCCTCGTGTCTCATGTGCTACAGACCACGAGGTTCTCACGAGCAGGTCTAAAATCCCCCCCCACTTCTCGCCCTCTGGTAGGCCAAATCAAAACATTACAAAAGCAAAGTTTTGTATTTTATATGAGCATTTTCTCATTTTACTGAGTAGTTGTAGCAGTTAATAATTTGTAATCCATGCACTTTTTTGTTTGTATGTGTGAGATTGTATATTTGTATGCATGCCATGTTTACACTCATACTGTGATAACAAAAATAAATTGTGAAATGACTTTAAGATATGATGTGCATCAGGACACATTGTGTGCAGCATCAGCGCTGGATCCTCGCTGTAAGGCCCTACCATCCCTGTCTGCTAAAGAGCGAGGTGACACCTTCTCCAGACTGCAGACCGACGCTGCCACTGCTGCACGTGATGAAACTGTTCAATTTAATAATAATGTTTTCATTGAGAATTAAAAGTCTCTATTGGATTATAAGGAATATTATATCATTTAAAAGAGTTCATTAATGATTTTCAATCTATTTATTTATTTCTGGGTTTTTTTTCCCCGTCTTATTCAACAGCAAAATACTGATGGTAATGATGCTGATGAAGGAGCTGAGGAGATGGGGGGGAAGCAACTTCACCCAAGAAGCCCAAGAAATCCAGCACCTTGTCTCTCCTTGGGGCAGTTTACTCACCAACAGTAAAGGAACATGGACCGAAAACTCCAGCAATGAGGGCTGAAGATGAAATCAGAAGACACAGGGTGGAAAATCCTGCTGGGCTGAATGAAAGTCCTCTGAGCTGGTGGAGGTCAAATGAAAGGGAGCATCCACTGTTGGCTCGCCCTGCGAAGATATACCTTTGTGTCCCAGGGACCAGTGTTGCGTCAGAGCGGGTGTTTTCAACTGCGGGTGATACTGTCACTGCAAAAAGGAGCTGCCTAACCCCAAATCATATCAATGAGTGAGAACAAAGTCACAACAACAGGACTTCAGACAGTTTATGTTTACTTTTAGTTTCGTTACCATTATTATTATTGTTGCACTTTAATAAACAATGCCTTAATGCAGTTTGCAGTGATGAAATGTTGTAGTTCAAGTCCACTTTCACACTTGAGCTGCAATGGGCTGAGCAATGTCTGGTGTGGTGGGGCCAGGTGTGATGGGGCACTCCCTGGTGGCAGCAGCTGGCCGTCGGTCTGGCCGCAAAACAGGAGCCTGTCCTTCCAGATTTGGAGGGAGGACAAATTCGTGCCGTGGGCCTGATGCTGAAGGAAGGAGCTGCAGTCGTTCCTTCGGTGGTGGAAGCTGGTCAGGTGCCACAGGAATCGGGTTGGTTGGAGCCATTCCCTGAGAAAGGATACTCATCTCCTGGCTCTTCAGCCGCCGTTGAAACCTGAGAGAAGATCATTTGTGTTAGATATTTATTCATTAGAGGACTATTCAGTCAATTTGAGGTAAATGATGAGCCTGACCTACCATTGAATGAGTGTCCGCTGATTAAGCTCAAACAGCTGGATCATTGTCTCCACCATAACCCTTGGACTGTTGAGCACTAAGTCCTGGATGTGGTGGTAGTCGCTGAGAATTTTAGTCCATCTGGGGGTGGACAATGCAGCCTTCTTGGTGGTTTTCTTGTGTAAAGTGCACAGCCTTATGCACATGGCCTCAACCAAGCGGCTGGTGTTGGGCCACTGAGCTGGGCCCCCCAGGATGTCCTATCAAGCAGCGCTTAACGCTCTCCACACCCGGCGTGACTCCAGACCGCTTGGGAGCCTTAAAACAGCCACTTGTCAGTCGCTGCTGATGACGAGGCTGGTAGTCGACCAGCTCCTTGTCGCCTTCAGGGAGAGCTGTCCACAGCTGGATGACCTGGATCACCTGCAGCTCAGTGAGGTAAGACGCCTCACGGAGACCCACCAGGTAAGCAGCGAGATCCTGGACCTTGTCCCACCCAGCGATCCCATCCGGTCCAATGACTGCTCCCTAATAAATGGATTGATTAATAATAATAAATGGGAAATAAAATGTAATTGAGATTGGATTGAAATAGCCGTTTAAGTGTCTTACCTGAGCCTCGTCGGACAGATTGTTTTCACTCTCCCGTGCAGCCTCAGAGGACGTGGACGGCAGATCAGCAGGTGATGGAGAGGCCTGAGGTGGAGAGGCCTGAGGACTCGTCATCAACGGTGAGGGCCTGTTCTCCAGATGACGGCAGGGGTCATCCTCCTCGAGCACAGGAACTGTGATGTCCTCTGTGATCTCTTCTTCGAATCCCTCATCTTGTACGTCCTCATCACTGACTTCCTCCACCAGCCTGTCCTCCTCCTCTGGGTTCTGGAGCACTGGACTCAGTGTTTTGCCGGTCTGGTTGTACAAGTACTCCATTCCCAGCAATTCACCTACAAAAACAAAACAGAAAAAAGAAATTATTCTTAATATGTTTAAGCAATATAGCACTCGTGATCGTGGGGTTGGCAATGGATAATCCACCGGTGTTGTTCAGGACTGTAATATTAGAAATATCAGAAACTAGTAACTAGGGCTGGGTAAAAAAAATTTAATCAATAAAGATTTAATCGATTTTGGATCGATTTCATTTAAATTTTTGCAATATGGATTCATAGGGCATGAGATCGATTTTTTTTTTCCCTCCATGAACCCCAGTAGACTCGTGCGTGATGACGCAGCAGCGCGTTTACGTCCATATGTGTACCTCCAAGTGGCATATTTTCTCATATTTGAGCTACTGTAAAATATTATTACTCAAATATGGACTTTTGTTGTTAAATTTCTCCAAATTGCTGCAGTAAAAATGCTTGACATTAAATATACTTGTAGTCTTAGACGTGTAGAAGTCAAATATATCATCCATAGCCAGGAATTATTGAGCAATATGTTTTTACAGAACCTCAAATATGGTCAAATATGCAATCTCTGGAGGCATAAATACAGGACTTTTATTTTGACATTTCTCCACACTGGCGCAGTAAAGATACTGCCTAACCCCAAATCATATCAATGAGCTCCTTTTCCTGCACAAGAATCTCACAATGAGTGAGAACAAAGTCACAATAACAGGACTTCAGACAGTTTAAGTTTACTTTTATTTTCGTTACCATTATTATTATTGTTGCACTTTAATAAACAATGCCTTAATGCAGTTTGCTAGTTTACTAGTAACCCATATGTATGCAATACCTGGAATAAATCTGTTTAAGTGGAGGTGGAAGGACTCCAGGGAGGTAGAGCCAGGGGCACACCTGTAGCAGCTCCACATCTCCTTTCTTCAGGGTGCCTGTCTTGATGTAGAGCAGGAAGTCCTCTGGGTCTTGGATACAGCCCACGTGTTTCTCCTGCTCCTGCCATATCTGCTGGATGCGTTCGTGGTCCAGCAGAGGAACTCCCAGAGTGTCCTTCCCACTTGCACCGTCAAACAGACCGATCAGTGACCCAATCAGCCTGATGGTCTCCTCCACCCCTCTGGTCTTCCTCCTGCAGTGCAGCGCCAACTCCCTCCGGGTGATGCGAGTGGTCACCGCCTCCTCTCCGATGTGGCCAATCCTCCTTGCTGCCAGCTCACCCTCCTTGGCGCGACGAAGAGCAGCAACATCTTCCGGATCCCACTCAAAAATGCACGTGGACAGGCGGGCCATGAAAATGCCGTACAGAGGTTGAGCCTCCGTTGTGACACCTGCAGCAAACCGGTGCATGAAATGTCATATCGAGGCGCACTTGAAGCCCGTCCCACTCTGCAAACATGGCCTTCACCCGACAAGGGCTGACTGCAGCAGTCTCTGTCCACGTACATGATTCCTGGTGCCGCCTCTCCTGCCTCCCTGTACCGCTTCATCAGGCCAGCAGCCATAGCGTCCAGTGTTTGTCCCTCACCGGCTGTCAGCACTGAAAACTGCTCGTTTCCCACATTAGTGCACCAGGCAGATGTTCCTTCCTTTCACTGAAGCCTCCAGCAATACAGGAGACTGAGACTCGTTTTTGGTTGTAAAACTGCACAAACAGAAATAAAATACAAACATTTCTCATTAAAGAAATATTCTGCATTTGTGTCTGATCCGTCATTATTCACATGAATGGACTGAGCGACAGCACCTACTGGCTGTTAATGCTATCCAACATTAACATTACTGTTTGCAAGCTATAGCAATGGCAACACCTAGGGATGAAGAGGAAATGTGTCCGATAATACCACATCACGTCTAAAAAGCATATCTGACCTTAAGATGGATGAATGGATGAAGAGCATGAAAACACCAATGCGACTGCGCAGTACCTGATAGCTGACATTGATGAGACTGTACCGACCGCCGAAGAGTGAGACACAGGGGAGAAACGTGATTGGTCAAAAGTAAGCCCACAGGGAGAAACGTGATTGGCTCATTTGGGCTTACTTTGGTGAAATTGACAAGATGCAGGAAGCCGCAAAGCGAGAGGTAGCAGGATCGATTCCCGCATCCTCCAAACTTTTTTTTTTTAAATTTCGACTACAAAACAAACAATAATGAAGTTATACTCACGAGTTGCTGTAAAGATCTTCTCTGGTGAGTCGTATTTTAATAACGAATTTAATGAATGCTAATAAGCTGCACAGTCAGAGTGAACGCCTGGAACAGGGATAAAGAGTAATGCCCGAAAGTAAAGAAATCACGGTGTTAAAAGCTAAACGTAGATGTTTTTTATCCGGTTGCAAAGATGCAGCTTTACAATTTACAATTTATAGTGACGTCACATTTTTCAGGGCATTGTGGGGGATTAGCTCAGATGGTAGAGCGCTCGCTTAGCATGCGAGAGGTAGCGGGATCGATGCCCGCATCCTCCAAACCTTTTTATTTTATCTTTATCTCAAAGATTACATGCTGTTCATGGAAATACAATGTGCTAGTGCTATCATTATTATTATTATGTAATTATGTGAATCTATTCCCAAAAGGGTTGCATTAACATATAACCAAGGCAACTTCTGTAGAATGTAATCAGATTAATTAAGTAAAGTTAGTAAAGTAGTGGGTGGGTAGTCTCTTAAAGAACCGTAGTCTGGGTGAAAGATCGATTCTGACTGGCTGCTAGGTGTCCATTAATTCCTGTTTAGCGTTATCCTGTTTGAATTCAACTAAAAGCTCCCTGAACCAAACTCCCTTTAAGAAATATCCCATTTTAACAATTCCTACTGGTCCGTAAAAACACTTAACTCTAGAAACACGAGCTAAAGGAGGTCACATGTCGACAGTCTTCTTGTCAATTCGGCACCAATATAATCGATAAAGATAAACTGTATTGTGTACAAACTTTACATTTTGTCGCTTCAGCTCACTCAGCCTCTGTTGTAGCTGCACTGTTGGAGTGGAGGGGAGAGAGTGGGAATGAGGGACCGACAGTTACTGAAGTTAAGATTTCTCACAGATATAAGAGCTGGTTGGAGGATCAGATACACGCCGAATTCAAGACCGACTCACAACACTGTTAATTCAACGTCTATTTTGTGTGTAGTTATCTGAGTTTACTTTTACATCATCCTCCAAACTTATTATTTCTCTACCAAAAGGTAGCCTATTATGTACTATGTATTATAACAATCATACAGCCTGAAACTTGTATAAAAACTTCTCTAAACAGGAAACAATCTGCTCCAAATTCCTCCAAATCTCTGGTTTTAGACAAACTTCCTGCAGTTACTGAGTTCAGTGTTCAGGTTCATTGTACAGTTTTAATATAATATGAAAAATACATAAAATATGGCAGTCAGTTTAATAAATGACAGAAAAGGGGTATATGAAGGAAAAAGTTTGGGAACCACTGCATTACATTGAATTTAAGCCTATTATAAAATGTATTCCCATTATTTAACAAGTTATATTTAAAATTAATCTGAATTAATCTGTTATATTTGACACTAAACTGTGGTGGCCAGGCCTCGTCTAGCGCTGCCTACCTGGATCCGCCCCTGGTTCACCGTGGAAGGATTTATGAAGAGAATATAAGGGCTCGTCAACATGAGTAGCTTTAATTAATACTTTGAATCAATAAAATCGGACATGCAGAGAAATGACAACATGAAGAACGTGAGCAGAAGGTCTTCCGGGGTGATTAAAACACGCAATCGTACACCGACATCCGTCGACACCATCAACCCAAACAAACACAGTTCTGTTTTATTTGAGTGTTTTTCCTCCAGAATGACTCCTCGGCGTTCCCGTTGTCCCGCTCTACGGCGTCCCCGTGGTGACGAGGCCAGCCAGCTCGGTTTGGGAGCAGAGTCTCGAACCAATCAGCACGTGGATTATAAAGTCCTGACGCTGTCGCTGTCTGGCGTCGCTTTCTGCTCCCAAGTGTCCCAAAAGCAAAACAAAAACAAACAAAAAAAAAAAGGTATCCATTGGTTTCTCCCTCAATGTCAGTGCAGAGCTGCAGCCGGGCAGCGAGCACGAAGGATCCGGTTCTGCTCGCCGCCCGTCGGTCGCCTCGCTCACATGAAGTCGTCTGAATCGTTACCGTCCTGCCAACGACACGCAGCGAGGTTAATGCGGAGAATCAAACACTTGACATTCAGTTAATCTGAGTAACACACAGATCTGTCCTCACCTCATTAGTCTGCATGTTCTCACTCTTCATCAGTGACGAGTAGTTCCTGGAGAGACAATATACAGAGATTTAATACAGTACACACACACATATATATATATATATATATGAGGTGGATGTTACTTTAAAGTGTAACTGCTGATTTTGGTAAGAATGTGAATATTAAACAGCAGATCTTGGATGTTTTAGTGAAGAATTAAAAGACTATCCAGCTTTATTAAAACAACGTCACAGTATTCCACTAAGACCTACCGGAGTTCCTCCATCTCCTTTTTCCTCCTCTGCTCATCCTTCTCTTTCTTCTTCTGATCCTGGAGCAGCGCTTTCTTCTCGTTCCTCTCCTCCCTGTCTCTCGACTCTTTCTCCGCCGCCAGGTCGGGGAGGCGTTCCACTTTCGTTTTCTCCAGCCGGTTCACGATCTCGTTGACCTTCTTCTCCACCGCCACGATCTTCACCTGTGAAACACATCGGCATCAAACCCCCGAACCGGTCGTTTGTTTAACGTCGGCGTGTCATTTCCGTGTCGTTCATACGGACCTCTTTCTGTCGGTAGAAGCCGATCTGTCCTACGTCCATGTCTCCGGTTTTCTTCAGGTTGGCCCACGGCGTGTAAACGACGTTGATGTTGTTCATCTTGCAGCCTGACGGCGTAAACACACAGTTTCTTTTTCTTTAAATACAGAAGATCTGGATAATAAAGGCAACAAAAGGCTCCTTCTGAATCCTGACTCTATCAGAAGGCAGATCTTTACCTTGGATGCTGTTGTTTTTCACCAGCTGCACACAGTCGATCAGAACCTCCGGGGGGGATGTCGTGTATCGTCTGACCCTAGAAAACAGAGACACACAGAGCGAGGATCAGCGGAGCTTATGGTGCCATAAACTACGCGGTTGGTGGAGTTCTGATCTGATTATTTCTTCAACAATCTGACAATCGAACCCTCTTTATGCAGCAATTCTTTCTTTACAAACGACCTCCGTCACTTTTTTATGTGTACAAACACGTCAAACACCAAGAACCATTTTAAGGAACAGGTAGAAACACTTTTGTATAAAGTAATGCGTTTGAAGCACAGTGTGGGACGAGCCTTTCTACATTAAATTCCATTCCATGGAATGGCGCCGGCGACAACGGCAGCCTGTCATGGCAGCTCCTTTCATTGTTGCAGTTTTAGTGTGTTTTCAGTGTGTTTTTGCTATTTTGAACTCTATTCTTACTTTCTCACTCTCTTACTACTTTGTTCATGTCGCCTAAATACTTTTTTGGCGTTTTTGAGCACTTTTATTTTTTGTTTACGCTGGTCTCCATGGCGGCGGGGAGTCGCATTGTTTTCACCCGCGACCAGATGATCGCCCTGAGGTACCCGAGCATCCTGACCGGAGAGAGACCCTCCATACCGGAGGAGCTGAGGAGACGGCGAAGCTGCAGAGCGGGGGTTAAACGGGGGATGAAGAAGAGGAGCTTTAAACTCTACATCCCTGCAATCATCGAGCAGATACCGGACTCCAACGTCACCATTCCCCGGCTTCCAGACGGTTCGAGCCGACAGGGACACCACCGGGACCGGCATGAAGAAAGGAGGGGGACTGTCCGTGCTCATAAACAACAGGTGGTGTAACGCCGGGCACGACTGAGTGAAAGAGCGTCTGCAGTCCGGACATCGAGCTCATCGCCGTCGGACTTCGTTCGTGTTGTCTGCCACTGGAACTTTCCAGTGTTGTCGCCATCACTGTCTATATTCTTCACAGTGGTCTTCATCATCACCATCACTGTTTACATTTATGATGTCCTATTTATTCTCCTGTACAGCACTTTGGTCAACTTTGGTTGTTTTTAAAGTGCTTAACAAATAAAGTTGGATTGGATTGGATTAAAGTCTAACATGATACAGTTTGTTGAGTTGTGGACTTTATTCAGGATACAGTGTGTTTCATTGGTCGCCCGTCTAGTTGCTTTAACCTCAGAGGGAACACGGGACCGTAAGAGAGTGACGAAGGAAGAGATTTTACAGGAACGGTGTTAAACAGTGAAGACAACAACTCCCATGATCCCACGCTACTTCACAACATCATCAAACTTCATCTTTTGTTATTGTGTTGATGTGAGCGTGAGTCTCGGCGTTTAGGGTTCAGTGACTCCTTACCTTTGGCAGTCTCAGGTAAACGTGAGCCGAAGACAGTTTGTCCACGTGAAACCTGGACAGGAAACAAACAAGACGGCGTGAACCAGAGGAGCGACCGAGTCACAACAAGGAAATGAATTGATTTGTTTGTTTGTTAATCTCGTGTTGTTGTTAAAACATTTAAAGTCTTTAATTAACTAATCTGTGACTCGAGTCTGAGTCAGGTGATTGTTGTTGTTTGTGTGGGAGTGATTGTTATTCTGGGTTTCTGTTGTTTGTGTTCAACTGATCTTTAATCTCTACAACCTGCCACTACTGACCTCTGCTACATAAACAATAAA